GAACTAGTGAACGATATATGGACTGTTTTTTGACTATGCTAAAACTCTGACTGGAATAAAACTACTTAACTAGCATGGTGTATCTGTTTTACTGAGTGTAAGCTACAAAAAACGTTTAGCTCACATATTTTTGCCTGACTGCCTGACTGCCGTGCAGATTCTGCTAGGGTGTATCCCTAACAGTGAGCGGCACCAAGAGCCCCTCCTCCTGCTCCCCCCTCTCCCAGAGTCCGTGCCCCACTCACCTTCCTCTCCTCGCAGGCGCTCCAGCTGGCCCCGCTCAGCCAGCCCCTCTACCTCCTTCACGAAGGCGATCATGCCCCCGAACCCCGGGGCCAGGAGCTCTTCAATGAACTCCTGCCAGGGAAGGAAGAGGGGGAGGATGGGTTCAGCTGAGGCCCTTCCCCATCTGTGGGCGTGGGGGCACCCCTCCACTCTACCTGTTGAGCACATCAACTGGTTCTACACAGGGAGGATGCGTCAGTCGTGCGCCTGAGCCAGCTCCACATCAGCGCCTGGGGTCTACCACAGACACCTCTCCCCCGTTACCCCAAGGGAGGGAAAGGCAGGACTCTCACCTCCCAAATGTGGCTGCAGGCACCCCCCTACCACCCAGTTTCTTGGAGTGGGGTGGGGGGGAGGGCCTGAGAATGGAAGCTGCAACACCCCGCCACCCCGACGCACCTGTGTCCGGGCATTCAGCAGCTGTTGGAATCCTTCCACTTCTTTGCTCTCCTCCACCGCTCGCTCCTGGGGAAGCCAAGGGGGAGAAAGTTGGATGCGTGTGTGCATGTGAGGTTTTGTCTTTCTCTCCCTCCCTCCTCTTGCCGGTCACCCGCCTACCATCAGGACGCCGAGCATCATGTCGTAGTTGTTGATGAGGAAGATGAGCTGCTCGGTGCGGGAGGAGAATTCGGCCGCCACACGCAGGACAAAGTTCTCCACTTCGGTCTGGCGGAATGGTGTGTGGGGAGAGAAGCAGGCCGCATCAGAGGAAGGCCCACCCCCAATCTCCAGCCCAGGGCCCACCAATATTAGGAGATGCAAGACACCCCCCCCCACATGCACTTCTAGGAGGTGCAAGAGACTACCCTGCCCTCAAAGGCCAGGCTGAGGCCAGCGGTTAGCAAGACGGGCCAAGGAGAGGCAGGATGTGGGGGAATAGCTGCCCAGCCCCTCGACCTCCCCCTCCCAGAGACCACTCCTCCACTTCAATTTCTGGCCGCATCTGGCATGCAGAGCAACGGTCGTCTATCAGTGGGCTACGCCCCACTGGTGGGCAGTGAGAAAATTTTGGTGGGCTGCAGAGAAATCTCACCCCCAGAGAACCCCCCCCCCCAAAAGCAATTAATCCAGGCTGTGCAGGAACACAAGGCTGCGCCGTCCACATGGCCTGCGAGAACCCTCCCCGCCCACTCACTCTTTACCCGGCAAACTTGCCTGCTAAATTGCTATTTTTCGTTTTTCCAACCATCAGCTGTTCTGCTGTGCTGGGAGATTTAGATTAGCTAGGAAGCAGGAAATGGTTGGATTTCTTGCTTTCTAGTTAGTCTTTAGATCTTCGGCTCGGCTTTTAAGCACAGCTGAACCTCCCTTAGGACTGAAGGTCCTATTATTCAGTGCAGACTCAGGGCAAGCAAATTTTATGGGACAGACTGAGCTAGCTGATGGCAGATAGATAGATCACTGAATGATTCTGGGAGCAACTCAATCTGCTTGCCTGCTTTGGGGTAAAAGTTGCTCTATTTTTATTAAAAAAAATCAATATTTACATACATGGTGTGTTGTGAGTTAATTTAGTGAGTTTGCTTGCAAGCAAATTTTATGTGACAGACTGAGCTAGTCGATGGCAGATAGATAGATCACTGAACTAATCTGTGATTCTGGGAGCAACTCAATCTGCCTGCCTGCTTTGCCTGATTTTGGGTATAAGTTGCTCTTTTATATATATATATATATAAAAATTCAATATTTACATACATGGTGTGAGTTAATTTTGTGAGTTCACTTGCTAGCAAATTTAGTGAGTTTGCTTGCAAGCAAATTTTATGGGACAGACTGAGCTAGCCAATGGCAGATAGATTGATCTCTGAATGATTCTGTAAGCAACTCAAATCTGCCTGCCCGCTTTGCCTGATTTTGGGTAAAAAGTTGCTCTTTTTTTAAATAAAAAAATTCAATGTTTATATACATATTTATAATATTTACATACAAGCCATGCCCAGCCAGTCCCAGGACCACCAAGCCACACCCAACAAATTAGGCCCTGCCCACAGAACCGGTTAGTGGTCCCTGGGATCTAAAATTATGAGTTTGGTGGTCCCTGAGGTCCAAAAGGTTGGCGACCCTGCGGTAGAGAACCAGGAAATAAACGTTTGTTGCACCGTGGGCGATGCCCCATGCAAAAAGCTGGGGGGGGGAGATGAAAGGTCCCCTTGAGGCACCTATCTGGGGAGGGGAAGCCCCCCTCCCCACATTCTCTGGGTCTTCAGCAGCTCCCCGCTTGCAAGGAAGATCTCTCCTGCCCTACAAGAGATAAAAGCCCACCTGAAGCTGCCCCAACAGGGCCAAAGTCCTCTCGTGGGGGAAGGTCTGGTTGATGCTGACGATGGCCGAGGAGAACTCTGCGTAGCGCCGGGTGATCTGTGGGTGGATGGGGGGTCAGGGGAGCAGAGAAGCAGGATGAGGGGTCTCCGGCCTCTCCAGACCCAGCCCTATGAAACCTGCTCCTTCCTGGCTGGACCACAGGCAGGCGAGCGTCCTGGCGTTCCCTACCAGACCCTCCCCGGCTATGGTCCAATCCACTGCCAGCCCCTCCTGGCGCATCTCCAGCAACTGTGGGGAGCCGTTTGGCCATAAGCCCAACCGCGCCTTTCCAGCCTTCACATTCTGCCCTCCCCTCTGAGCGGGGTGGGGTGGGGGGCAGGCGTCCACCCCTCCCTTCCCGACAGGGAGCGCCACTCCCCCGCGCGCGCACGTACGTAGTGGGGCCGCGTGTCCAGGAAGCCCAGCTTCTGGGGGTCCGTGCTCTGGATGCTGTGGATGTTCAGCTCCAGGATGTACTCAAATCGCGGCCAGAGCAGCTCCAGCAATGTGTCCCAGTACCTTGAAAGGGGATATGGGTCAGAGGTGGGATTCAGCCGGTTCGGATCGGTAACGGAAATTTTTGAGGAGTTCAGATACGCAGCCAATGCCGCCTCTTGACTGGCCCCGCCAACCCCATCTATTCTCTGCCTCCTATCGAGTCCCAGCTGATCAGCTGGGTCTTCTTTGGTTGCCCTGCAGAGGTGATCCGTGTATCTGCCATTCTTCAAGGGAAGAAGCAGCGGGGGGAGAGTCGGTACAAGTAAACCCTTTTTGATGTAACCTGAATATATTAAACCCTACATTGATTCTGTATAACTTGCATGCGATATACAACTGGAGGATTGGAGCCAGATGTCCAGAAACTTGTCACCTCTTGAAGAGATAACAAGATGAGAAGGGACTATAAAAATTCCAGCTCTGGAAGACGATCCTGGGAACTCTGCTAAGATACGTTCCCAGGGAAGGGGAACGGGGGAAATTAACATCTTGGTTCTTTGTTCGACTAAATCCACACCTGAATAAGGGGAGGGGATTCTAACACCCTTTATCTATGACTGTAGGCCTGTGGATATCTTAAGACTCTTGCTTTGACCAGTGTTGGGATAAAATCCCGTTCAGTAAAGGATTCCTTTTGAAACGCCTGGTTTTCCACAGTTCATTCGTTTCAGTTGAAGGGGAAAAAAGTCCAACGCTTACAACGGAGCTGGAAAGCAGGTTAGAGGGGGATTTTGCAGTATCCTTCCTGTCACACCCACCAAGCCACGCCACGCCCACAGAACCGGTAGTACAAAATTTAGAATCCGGTCCCTCGCTATTGTGGGTGGGAACGTTGCCATCGCTTTAGATGTGTTTTTTTTTTGCGCGTAAATCCCCAGATCCAGAATCCTTTCGATGCTCCCACTGGATTCCCAGTTCCTTTTCTCCGTACCAATGGAATCTAAGGGTCTCTTTTCTTGGATTTTGAGTAACGTCACAGGTGAGGCTCCATTCAAAATCCAAGAAAGGCACCGCGAGACTCCACTGTTAAGAGAGAAAAGGAGCTTTGGCTGGAAATCCAAGCGGTAGCGTCAAAAGGATTCTAGACCGGAGGATTTACACGTGGAAATCACATATACGAAGTGGTGGCAACGTTCCCGCCCACCCTAGTTCAAGCGGCCCATCCAATATCGAAGATGTGCCTCATGTCCTGTGGGGCCTCTTCAGGTGGCGATGCAGACATCTGGACGTTGAACTTGGCCTGGTAAGAGAGGATGCTGCGGCTGCGCAGTAAGCAAGTAAGCAAGAAAACAAGAAAGTTTTCTCCAGGTTTTCCAGTTCATTCTCTAAAGCCTCCAGCACGCTTCCCACCCGACAAAGCCCAATTGATTCACCCCACCCCCCCGTTTACTACGACAGCCAAAAAAGATAGCAAAAGAAAGGAGTCTTCGAAGGCTGACAAATCCCACCACTGCAGACGGGGGAGTGTCACCCAGACAGAAGACCTCCCCCAACTGACCCAGTTGGCCAAGAGGGAGGGACAGATGGGGAGAGGGGTGGGGGGGAGCAAAAGGGGGCTCACTTGTCGATAGCCGGGACGTTGCGCTTGGCCACGAGAGCCTTGAAGCGAAGGACGATGTGGATGCAGAGGAAGACGGCAATGCTGTCGTAGCAGTCGCTCACGTAGGCATCCATGTGCTTCTGCGGGGAGGGAGGGAGGAAAGGGGAGGGGGATGAGAGATGAGATACATGGGAAGGACCCTCCCTCGTCTCTCGGACCCCACCCCTCCCAAAGCGTTCTATGACTTCTGGGGCCAGGCGTTAAGATCCCATGGCTGGAAGATCTGGAAAGAGGTGGATAAGGGGTGTCTCCAGCTCATGCCTGAAATTTCGATTCTTTTTGAGCTCCGCGTCAACAAAAAATGAGAAGTCTAAAAAAATAATAAGAGTAGGAAGGGACCTCGGGGGTCTTCTAGTCCAGTGACGGCTAACCTTTTTGTCATCGCGCGCCAAAGGTGTACGGTTGCACATGCGTGCCTGCACCCATAATCGTGGAAGGGGAAAAGGGGGACAATGTGTTAACCCCTCTATCTGGATTTATTTTTCTTTTGAGGAGGAGGAGTTTTTAAGGGGGGACACCTGTCAGCTTAAAAATTTAGCTGCCACATTTTATTGGAAGGGGGTTGGAGGAGTTGAAAAATTCAAGGTTATTCTGTATGTTCTATTAAGAAATTCCAGTTGCAGTTCATTGGTTCTCGTGATTTGTGAAGTGTCGAAGTGGGAGGAGAGAAGGTGGATTCTGTGTAACGCCCCAAAATAATTTGAAATTAGAGAACAAGAAGATAAACAATTTTATGAAGTTTGGGATCTTTTTTTTATCAATGGTTAGATAATAAAACATAATAATAGAATATTTAGAAATTTAGGATATAATGAATATATACTTTTTTTTCTTTGATATTATTTTTATAAAACTTTATTAAGATAGATTTGGTATGATCTTATGATTTGTTGTAAAATAAATTAAGTAAATTATAGTTGTCTTGTTAAAGTATGGATTAACAAAATTATAGTTAAATGATTTTTCAGTAATGATACTAGGTTATACAATTGTTGATTGATAATATGAGTTATTATGTAATATAACTATAATGGCATCTAGGAAACGGATGCACAAAAAAAAGTGGTAAACCAACCGATACTCTGTTTGTAAATTTATGAAGGAGGATGATGTTTTTATGTGTTATGTTGTATAGTTTATGTGGTTTTGTTTGTTGTTAAAATCAATAAAAAAATTTTTTTTTAAAAAAATAATTTCACTTTGGGAAATTGCCTTAGACATACCAGATCTGTTTCTAAATAAATCAATTGGGAGAAAAAAATGTCTTGGAGTAATTGATATCATGGATACTTTCTGGATGCCTTAACATTTACAGTCAGCTTTAAAATTCAGCTGTCAATGGGATTTAGCCGGTTCGCACTGGTTCAGGTGAACCAGTTGTTAACTTTCTGAGCAGTTTGGTGAACTGGTTGTTAAAAGAAATCATTAGCGAAAAGAACCGGTTGTTCACGTATTTGAATCCCACCGTTGCCCATAATGCAATGCACGCGCAACCCCACCGTGCTCCCCTGCGTGCCCCCCCGTGTACGCGTCTCCCACGTGCATCCTGCCCCTCATGCAGATACCCGAAAACCCAGCTGACTGGTGGGAGGCATGTGCGCACATGGAAAGTGATACTGAGCTGCGGCGACAGCTTGCTTGCCCGCAGAGATGGCTCAGTGTGCCACTTCCGGCATGCGTGCTGTAGGTTCGTCGTCACAGTTCCAGTCTAACCCCCTGCTCAACCGGGAGACCCGATACCATTCCAGACCAATGACCGTCCAATCTCTTCTTAAAAACCTCCAGGGACGGAGCAGCCACAACTTCCGGTGGCAAGCAGTTCCACTGGTTTAATTGTCCTCTCTGCTAGGAAGTTTCTCCTTAGTTCCACGTTGTTTCTCTCCTTGGTTAGTTCCCACCCATTGCTTCACATCCCGCCTTCAGGTGCACGGAAAATAGGTGGACCCCTTTCCTCTTTGGGGCAGCCCCTCAAATACCGGAATCCTGCTATCCTGTGCCCACTCCTCCCGCTCGTTAAATTTTATTAAAGAGCTTCGATTTCCCCCTGGTCTAACCCACCCCCGCCCCGCCCCACCCGCCGCAGCCGCAGATGCTCACGAGGAACATGGCGAGGGTCTTGCCCATGACGGCGTTGAAGAGGTCCAGGGCGGGGCTGCCGGCCACCAGGAAGAAGTCGCAGAGGAAGAGGTACTCGCGGCAGCTGTTGTCCAGCAGGGCATAGTGCTGGCTCCGGAAGAGAGACTCAAAGGGATACTGTGCAGGGGAAGGGGAGGGGAAGGCAACACTGTCAGGGCCAAAGGGGCAGGGTCTTCAGGACCCTCCCCCCACTAACCCTCCCCGGCTCCCACCACCTCCCTCCCCCACAAAAACCAAGCAAACCCCAAATGGAAGGACCTCCCAGCCAGGTGCTCCCGTGCTCTGGACCAGGGGTCTCCAACTTTGGCCCACGGGGAATTCTGGCCGTTGAAATGTACAGGTCTTAAAAGGTTGCCAAGGTTGGAGACCCCCCGCTTTGGATTACAACTACCCTCGTTCCCAGCCAGGTTCGACTTATGAGCCGAAAACTTGCCGATCTGGATTCTTCTACGTACAACCGTAGAAGGAACCAGGCCGCGGAAGCCAAGGGCAGCTGCATGTGCTTATGCATTCACCCGCCCCTTGCGTGGAACCATCCCCACAAAGCCGGAAGGCGGCCCTATTGCATTCTGGGAAGTGAGCCACTGTCACTGACCGGGGGGCGGGGAGCAAGGGGGGGGCACACTTAGCAAATGCTTTGGGCTCTCCTAGGAGCCTCCCGGTAAAACATTTCCGTGCCTGTTTCCAACTTGCCATAAGAAAGAGGACGGGGGGCGGGAACCTGGAGGAGCATATGGCAAATGAATTCAGGAGCACATTCCAACCTTAACTCAAAAAGATTGTAGCTTAAGTTACCGGAGGGAAATTCCTTAATTGGAGAACGTGATTGACGACACACCCAGGCTGTGAAGTGCTTAATTGGAGAATCTGATTTATGACACACCCAGGTGGGGGGGGGGGAACAGCGTCACAGGCGACCGTAAATTATATATGCCAGAGTTGGCTCCATACAGGTCATGCCAGTATGTCGCTCCTAATAAATTCTTTGAAGTGTTTTGAAGTTTGGCTCGAGGCTCCTGATTTCATTAGGGCGATCGCTGGAATCCTGACACTCCCATCTTAACCCGCCAAGCCCTCCGGCCGCTGCCCCCCCCACAACCCGCCTTTCCCAGGGAGCGGGGCATGGCCAGACTTACTCGGACATCGCTCTTCTGCGCCGAGTGGGGGACGATGATAGGCCCTTCCAGCTCAGCGCTGCTGATCACATTCCCCCGGTTCCCCAAGGTGAAGATGGTGTTCCGGCTGCGGAGGGACGGCTTAGAGAAGAAGCGTGTAGGTGGCCGGAGTCAAGGGCAGCCGGGTGGCATAAGTGCTGTCCGTGCCCAGGTCAGGACCCTTCCTCCCCTTCCCCCCAACCCCAAACATGAACCAGGAGGGGGGGGGCAGATGGAGTGGGAGGGGTGGGGACACAGCCAAGCGGCCCGCAAACCTCCCTCACTTGTTGGTCCAGCCCCTTCGGGAAGGATATCCTTCTTGCCGGTGTCTTCCACCCCCATCAGGTCATCCTTCTCAGCCACCTCCTCGTACTGCAGGTTCGGGAGACAGAAAACGGGGCCCACATTTGGCACAGCGGACCATGGAGCTGGAGGGGGAGGGGCCCCCCGCATCCGGAGCGGGGGAAGGAGGAGACCAGCCCCCCCCCCGCCCAGGGAGCTCACCTGGAGCTTCATCAGGCGGTTGGTGTAGGACTTGAAGTAGCTGAGGTAGATCTTACTCATGGTGTCCACGTAGTCGTCCCGCACCTCCTTGGCGATGACCCTCTCATGGCCCAGCAGGAACTGGTAGAAAAACCTGACACCCCACCCCCCAAAAAGAAGATGAACTTCACTTGTTCCCCCACCCCATCAAAAGGGGAGGGGGCCATCCCAATTTTGCTGTCCCTAAACCTAGCACGAACGTCTGCCCGGGGCTCCTTGGTCCCCCAACGGAGTGGGTTGGGATCACGCGCAAAGCATTACGGGAGACCCTTCAGGCTGCTCCCCAGGAGCCCTGGGACATGCCGGGAGACCTCGCAGCCGCCTGGCCGCACCTCCTACCTGTACTTGAGCAGGGCATTCTGGGGGATCTGGTAGTTGGTCATGGGTTTGCGGAAGGAGACGACTTTCTGCAGGATGAACTCTCGGATCTTGGCCACCGCCTGGGGGAGGAAGGAGAACCAACCACGTGGCACTTCTAGCCCAAGCCTGGGCACCAGGGGCCCCCAAGTCTGCCCCCACCTGCCAACTCCTCTGGCAATGCTGCAGCCAGAGCTTTGCAGCCAAGGCCGGAAAAGTGATGCATGAACACATCGGTGGGACCCCCTGCTCTAAGGGGAGGATGGGGCAACCTTGAGGGGTGGAAGGAAGAGTCAAAACTGAGACAACAGGTAAAGGAAACCTGAGTCTGGGCGAGAAAAGTAACCTGAGAAAGCCCTTCAGACGTAACCCTCCCTGGTTCTCACAAAGATAGAGGAAGGGTAGAGGAAGGGCATTCAGACATGCAGAATCTACGGAGATTCTTAGTCCTCCAGATCATAGTTACTCCAAGGAGCTTTTTCAGGAGGCAACTGGACATTGTTGTTGTTTTTTTCTGAAGATATTTCACTCCTCATCCAAGAAGCTTCTTCAGCTCAGACCGGATGGTGGGGAATGGAAGGATTGATAACTCCTTGCAGACAGCTGGTCATTTGCGTCCTTTTTAGAGGGTCGTTGAGGCCACTTGGAGGTTTCTCTGTGTCCTCCGGGTCACCTCCAAGTGGTCTCAACGACTCTCTAAAAGGATGCAAAAGACCAAGCAGTCTGCAAGGAGTATCAATCCTTCCATTCCCCACCATCCGGTCGGAGTGGAAGAAGCTTCTTGGGATGAGAAGCGAAACGTCTTCAACAGAAAAAAACCAAGTCTGGTTGCCTCTGGGAAAAATCCTCTTTGGGGAAGACATGCGGGATTTTTTTTTCCACCAGGAACACAGATAAGCCACGACAGCACAGAATAAAGTCACGTTGGCTCCTAACAGCTTGCTGCGTGCAGTTTCCCTTTTTTATACACTGTCTTCCCAGCTGCAGCTAATGGAGGGAATCAGGGCCCTTGCCTCCCCCGTAAGCCATGCGACCCATTTTGCTCCCTTCTCCATTCCTGCCTGCTTGCCCTCGAATGAAGAGGAGGTGGGCCGGAGTCTTCCTCCGAATTCCCTCTCCCTTTTTCTACCTCTTCCCCGCTCTGCCCAGCCAACCTTTGCCCTTCCCCAGTTTCCTCCACAATGGAGCCACACCTTCACTCCCTGTCAGCTGTTCGGCTTCCTCCTCTGAGTCAGATTCTGACAGGGGCACGACAGTGGGATATCAGTCTAAGGGCTATTGCTATCCTGCAGGAGTGACCCTTGCACAGTCGAAGGGCCCGTTGCCCTGCGGTGCTACCAAAGGGGGGGAGGGGGGGCAGGGGAATCCGGCACCTGAGCTCCACCGCTCTGGCCCTTAGATTCCCTCGTGGCCCTGGCCAGGATCCTGGCTTCTCACCTTGGCCTTCAGCTTGTCCAGGATGTCGGCCACGTCCGTGCAGGCCATGGTCTCGCGGAAGGCCTGCTCTTTGACGGCGTTGATCTTGTTGTTTAGCTCATTCAGCTGCTCCAGGAAGGCCTGGTCAGTCACCGGCGTCTCCAGGATGGTGCTGGCGATGGGGAGGCACGTCAGCCGGGCATCCTCTCCGCTCCCCTTATGGGCCCCCCCCTCCCTTCTCTGCCAGACCCCCCCCCCCTCCCCCCGCCAGGATGACCGGCCTCTCCTCCACCCGGCCGCACCTGATCATGACGTTGGGCACCATCAGTTCATCCACCAGCTGGGAGAGGCGGCCGCGGACGGCCTGGCGGTTGCGCAGCCGGATGTTCATGGCGACCGACTGCTCCTGCAGTGTCTGGATCTCACAGCTGATGCTGCTCAGGTCGGACTGGAAGGAGCTCAGCATGGCCTCCATGCGCTGCGGGGAAGACAAAAGGAGAGATCCCCGTTACTCTGCCCTCCAAGAACCAGCATTCTGGGGGGGGGGGGTGCAGGGAACGGGGCCAGATATGCACATGGGAGCCCCTTTAGATCATAGAATCATAGAGTTGGAAGGGACCTTGGAGGTCTTCTAGTCCAGCTTAACCCCCAGCTTAGGCAGGAAACCCTACACCACTTCAGACAAAGGGTGCTATCCAACGTCAGGTCACAGCGGCCTACCTGCCTTCTCCCCAAAGGGGAAGGAGGCATCCACCCAGAAGCCCCCCACTCCTTGCTCCCTCAGGACCCCCCAGGAGAAGCCCCACAAGGGGGCCATTGCTGAAGAGGGGGATGCCGGCCTTAGAACCCCGATCCTGCCAGGCTACTTGGGGACTTTGTTCACAGAGCAGGACAGACTTCTTAAAAAAAAAAACTCCAGTGAGTGAGGAAGAAAGGAAGGAAGGAAGGAGGAAAGAGGGAGGGAGGAAGGAAAAGAGGAGGAAGGAAGGAAAGAAGGAGGGAGAGAGGAAAAACAGAGGGAGGGAGGAAGGAAGGAAAGGAGGGAGGGAGGAAAGAAGGAGAGAGGGAGAGAGGAAAGAGGGAGGGAGGGAGGAAGGAAAGAAGGAAGGAAAGAAGGAGGGAGGGAGGAAAGAGGGAGGGAGGAAGGAAAGAAGGAAGGAGGAAGGAGAGGAGGAGGGAGTGAGAGAGGAAAGAGGGAGGAAGGAAGGAAGGAAAGAAGGAGGGAGGGAGGAAAGAGGGAGGGAGGGAGGAAGGAAGGAGGGAGGGAGAGAGGAAAGAGGGAGGGAGGAAGGAAGGAAAGGAGGGAGGAAGGAAAAAAGAGAGGGAAAGGGGGGAGGGAGGGAGGAAGGAAAGGAGGAAGGGAGGGCAGGCAGGCAGAATATGAGAGCTGGAAGGGTCCTTCAAGGTCTTCTAGTCCAACCCCCTGCTTGAGCGGGAGACCTGATCCCATTCCAGACAAAAGGATGTCCACATCTCTTCTTAAAATCCTCCACCGGGGTTGGAGTGCCCACAATGTCTGGGATCAAGCTGTTCCAAACCATCCCTTCTGCATCAAGACAAATTCCTTGTGTGTCCAATGACACTTGGCCAATAAAGAATTCTATTCTACTCTATTCCTTCCCTCTTCTCTTTCTTTTTCCCACTCCCTCCCTCCCTCCCTCTCTCCTTTATTGGCTAAATAGGGTTGGTGTCCTGTGTGAAGGGCACCTGGGAGTCAAGCCACCTTGACCTGATATAACTGCAGCCGGGGACTTTGGGGGGAGCCTTGGGTTAGTGCACTGACCCTCTAATGCAGGGGTGTCAAATTCGATGTCATTGAGGACCAGATCAGGGTTGTGTTTCACCTCGGGGTGGGCGTGGCCAGGGTAGGCATGACCAACTCAATGTCACACATCGAGGCTCCGTTTTCAGCCATGCTAGCCTCCTGAAGCCCTCTGCCAGGAAAAAATGGATCTCAGGGCCACTGCGTGTGGCCCGCCAGGACTTTTCGCTGGCAGAGGCACCGTGTCATGCCCCTGTTGGAGGCTGAGCAGCTGACAAGGGGTGGGAGTTTGGCTGTAGTGGCTGGGGAGGAAACTGAGGAAGGGCACGTCTGGCTGGACATTCAGAGGAAGACCCAGGCCCACTCCCTCTTCATCCCAGGGCATGCAGGGAGGAACGGAGAAGGGAGCAACATGGCTTACGGGGGAGGAAAAGGCCCTAATCCCCTTGATTAGCTGCAATTGGGAAAACAGGATAAAGTGAGTGTTTGCGGACAGCACCTTGCTGGAAGCAAAGCGTGCATTATTTTGGTTTGTCAAGTCTTATTTGGGTTCTGGCGTCCTCCCAACGGGGTGTGTTTCGTTATCTTTTAAAAGTCTGCAATTCCTTATCCTGCCTCGTCTCATTAATTGCTGAAGCGTGGATCGTGTTGCTTTTTATTTATCATTTAGACATAATTTGAGTTTGGAAGGAATTTCTTCCCTTTAAAAACTGTTCTTGGGAGAGTTTTTTTTTCTCCAGCCGATGATAACTGGACATTGGAGGCCAAGTTGGAGGAATTAAAAGGACACTACCTACTTTTTGTGACTTTTGGCTTTTGTGCCACGCCCCTTTGGGTCGTCAGACATCGCAGGCTGGTCCTTCTGCCAGGATTCCAGCAATCACTCTAATTAAATCATGATACTTGAGCCAAACTTCAACCAACTTTGAAGGATTTGTTAAAGAGGAGACATACTGGCTCTGCCCTGTATGGAGCCAACTCTGGCCTACCTCATTCAAAGTCCCCTGTGACCCTGTTTCTCCCCCTCCTCCTCCCTGGGTGTCTCATAAACCAGATTCCCCAACCAAGAACCTTCATGGGCTGGGTGTGTCATCAATCACATTCTCCAACTAAGGATTTTCCCCGGCAGAAGATTCGGTAGCTTAGTTACAATCTTTGTAAAGTTAAGTGTGGAATGTACTTTCAGGCAAAAGCTCTGGTATTGGAGTTACAATCTTTGAAAGATCAAGAGTTGGAATATACTTTCAATTTCAAATGGCTCTTCCAGATTTCCTTCCTTCCCCGCCTTCCCATTTTTTTTATGGCAACTACTAAAACAGGCATAGTCGACACCTTCACTGTTTCCAGGGCGGGCCTGCAGGCCAGATCGAAGCACCCCGCAGGCTGTAGGTTAGGAATAACAAGGTTACCTAACGTAGTTTGGGTAAAATAATATATATAAACTATGATAGTAAGTTTTAAGTGTGTGTAAACTGTAAACTTTAAACTGTAAAGCATGTAATTTTGGGTGCGGTTGTGAAACCGCCATAAGAGGGAGCAAGAGAACCTGCTGGATTGCTGACGATTCCTGACGATTGCTGGTTTGCTGGATTGATGTTTTGCTAACTGCGTGTTTTCCCTACTGCCGAGTTTTTGAACGTCGAAGGAAGAAAGGAGGTTTGACTTCACATCTCTACTGCGAGGAGATATATTATTGGACTGATACTTGTAAGTTTACTGACCTCTCTTTTTCGACACTGGACTTTGCGACTGTATAATCCCCGGACGGACTGAATTAGCGAACGATATATGGACTGTTTGGACTATGCTAAAACTATTACTGGAATAAAACTATTTAACTAGCACGGTGTATCTGTTTTACTGAGTGTAAGCTACCAAAAAACGTTTATCTCACATATTTTGCCTGCCTGCCTGACTGACTGCCGTGCAGATTCTGCTAGGGTGTATCCCTAACACTTTGTCCAGCTTGCGGGGTGCTTAGAGCTTGAGTTTTGACACCCCTGGTCTAATCGCCCAGTCCTTCCCTCCCTCCCCAAACCAGGGAAGCCCAGTCCCTCCCTCCGAAGAGGTGCAGCGCTCACCTCCAGCACAGCATCGCAGGCCGTGATCTGGGTATGCAATGAGGCAATGTTCTTGCTCTCCTTAATATCTAGGGTGCCCGTTAAGGACAACAGTGGGCTAAAAGGGGTGAGGGGGGGTTCCTCCTGGTACTAGGAGGAGGGGGGGAACAAAGCCCCCCCCCCCAGGAATCAGCCTTTCCCCCCCCCGAGCAGGCGGAGGATACAGTCCTTGATGGAGGCGTTTTCGATCTGCTGTAGCTCCTGTTCCACCTGCTTGGAGTACTGGCGGAGATCCACCCCCTGCCAAGGCAGAGAGAGAAAAAGGGGGGGGGAGTGAGTGAGTGAAGGGATCCCCCTCCCCTCCATCCCATTCTCCCCACCCCGGCCTTCCGTACCGTCTTCAGGGCCTCCTGCACCAGGGCATCCTCCAGGTTGGCTTGGATGTGAACTGAAAGAGAGAGGGGAGGTGGAAGAAATATTAGGCCTGGAGCAAACAGGCTTCGCTCCCGAGGTGCTTCCTTGGGACTAGAGCACTCCCCCACCCTCAGCTGCACCAGTAAGAATGTCCTCTTGTCAAACGGGGGGAGCGGGGGGGGGGGCTGTTGAGACCCAGCAGCTCCTACTGGGAGACTGGGAACGGCTCTTCCCAGCAGCAGAACCTTCCTGGGAAAACTGGGAATAGATACTTTCTGTACGCCTTTCCCCTAGGGTGTGTGTGTGTGTGTGTGTGTGTGTGTGTGTGTGTGATGACAAAGACGCTACGATGGACGCAACCTGCTTGTGGCTTCTCCTGGGCACCTGAGTTTTCCACCCTCTCCGTCAGGTGATTACGGAGCAGGGGTCTCCAACCGTGGCCACGGTTTAAGACTTGTGGACTTCAACTCCCAGAATTCCTCAGCCAGTCCACTGGAGGGCTTCCATTTCCAGAATTCCTCAGCCGGACGTGCCAGCTGGGGGAATTCTGGGAGTTGAAGTCCACAAGTGTTGGCCAAGGTTGGAGACCTCTGCCATAAGAGGGTGGGAATCTCTCTTTTTACTCTACATTTTGGGGAGGGGGGAGAAGTTTTCCTTGATAAAACATCAGCCCGCCCTCCCCCCGGTCACAGTCCCAGCTGTAGAGAAGCTGCAGGGGTGGGTTGTGAGAGGACACACATACACACACACACACACACAAAATGTATGCCCAGCTTACTGTCCACTTCATCCAGGATGAACTCTTCGGAGGTCAGGTCCAGCTCCCCCAGGTGGAGGGGCAGCGCCTCATCGCTCTGGCCCTGCGGGGACACACACAACAAAGGACCCTGTTAAGCCCCTGGTTTTGGGGGGGAGGCGGTGGGGTACGTCAAGCAGTCCTGTCCTGATGGGAAGGGCCTTGCCACCCTTCCAGCAAGGCCTTCCCTCACGGCTCCAGGCCTGAGAGCAGGGCCCAGGGGCCGCTCCAGAGGGCTTGCCAACAAGGTCAGACAGGGACGGTTCCATTCAGCAGGGAAGGATGGACCCCGTAGTGCAGGGGGGGGGCAGAAGGAGAGAGTGATCTCTGTGCTTTCGCTCCTCCCTCAAGGAACTTTTAGAGTAGAATAGACCTGGGCTCTCCAACCTTGGCAACTCCCTGAAGGTTTGAGGAAGGCTTCGGCAGGCTTCGTAGGCCGAAAACTAGGCCCGTTTCATCACTGCTGGTATTTCCAGAAAAACCGGAAGTGACGAAACGGGCTAGTTTTCGGCCTGCAGAGCCTGCAGAAGCCTTCTTCCTCGAGACTTTGGGAGGCCAGAAAGGGGCCTCAAACCCAAGACAAAATATGTAATAATCCATATTCTAACTGCGGCTAGATTAGCGTTTGCTCAGTGTTGGAAATCACCTCATACACCTTCAGAGCAAATGGTTCTTCAGAAAACTTGTGAGTGCGCTGAAATGGATAAACTAACGATAGCGTTAAAAAAACAAAGAGTCCTCAACATTTTACAACAACTGGGACTCATGGTATAATTGGCTTACACAGAGACAAATTATGTAAGTGATATAGAGTAACTTAAACATAATGGAAAAGAGGAGTAGATTGGATGTGACGAAGATAAATGATCCTTACAGACTGTCACAAAAAGATATCGTTCGTTTTTAATTGGACTTTCTACCTTATTCTCCCTCCTCTTCCCTTTCCCCCTCTCCCTCTATGTTATGACTCCCCTTCAAAATTCAAACGAACAAAACAGAAAGCAGCCTTCACAATTAAATCAAACGGAAAGAAGTCTTACAAGATAACGGCTGGCAGGAATCTCAATCCACAGCATAAATCTTTACTCTGCCCTGCAAACCAGTCCTGGCAATAAATCTCCAGTCTCAGAGCTTCTTGCTGTAACATCCTCACTCAAATAGTCACTTTGTTCCTGGCAAAATGTACCAGCCCAGCTGTGTCCTTTTATACTCATTGAGGCAACGTGCTAATTTACTGACTCGCTCTCCAGCTGATTTTGCCTTCTCAACCGTCTTCTGTTTTTTACATTTAACCACAAATTTTCCAAGTTCTCATCTCCACTAGAAGACTCTCTCAAAACTTCCCTGTCAGCCATTCCCGGTTGTTGATCAGATAAGGAACCAGAGGAGGTCAAAGGTCCTGACAATTCTAATACATCAGGTCTGTCGTCCTTTGTCACGTCCATCTCCTCATCCTGGTTATCAGTCCAATCACTGAGCCATGCTGGCTCATATTTTTCTGCCATGACCTCCTCACTTGAACTCATATCAGTCACAGGAGCTGAATCCAAGCCCGGAGCCACAACACCTCTATATCTTTTCTCTTCCCCCCAACTGGCCCTTATCCGGTGTGTTAGGCCGGGTGTTTTCTTTCTTTCCCGCCCAGCCGTTTTCCTTCTATTTTGTAAATGTACCGTTGATGTGTTTTTAAACTGTAAATTCAATAAAATCTATTTAAAAAAAGAAAAGAAAAATCAGCAGTGAGGCGCTGCACATGCGCAGGGAGGTTAAGTTTGCCTGCGGCTCACTCGCCGGCACAAACGGCTCCGCGTGCCACCTGTGGCACGCGTCCCATAGGTTCGCCGTCACGGCCCTAAACCATTTCTGACAAGATTGGTGTCCAGTCTCTTCTTAAACACTTCCAGCGATGGAGCCCCCACAAGCCTCTGGTGGCAAGGAGTTCCACTGGTTCATTGTTCGTACTGTCATGAAATTCCCCCTTAGTTCCGTATGGGTTCTCTTCCTGATAAAGCTTCCATCCGGTATTTCTTCTCCTGGTGTTTTGGAAAATAGGTTGAACCTTTCCTCCTCTCTGGAGCAGCCCCTCAAACATTGGAAGACTGCTGTCATGTCTCCCCCTTAATTCTTCTTTTCTCTAGACTGGCCAGATCCAGAGTCTACAGCCGTTCTTCTTCCTGTGTTTTTTTGGTCTCCAGACCTTTGAAAGTCCAGTTGCCTTTTGAAAAAAACGAACCTTTGGGACAGCCATGATCAGGATGACTGAGGATCTCCACGGACGTTTAGCCCAACCAAAGGAATCACCAATATACAGAGAATCAGAGTTGGAAGGGACCTTGTCGGTCATCTAGTCCAACCCCCCGCCCAAGCAGGAGACCCTACACCGTTTCTGACAAATGGCAGTCCAGTCTCTTTTTGAAGGTCTCAAGGGATGAAGCTCCCACAACTTCCGAGGGCAACTTCTGTTCCATTGGCTGATCGTTCTCACTGTCAGAAAGTTCCTCCTTATTTCCAGGTTGAATCTCTCCTTGTTCAATTTCCATCCATTATTCCTTATCTGGCCTTCAGATGCCTTGGGAAATAGCGTGACCCCCCTCTTCTTCTCTGTGGCAGCCCCTCAAATATTGGAAGACCGCTATCATGTCTCCCCTGGTCGTAAATATACACTGGGAGCAAATCCCATTTCTTCCTAGCCCCAATGACATTCCCTAGAACGTTCTTTCTGCATCAACTTAGGAAGCTCAAACTGCCCAAAAGGAGCTGCTGATCCAGTTCTACAGAGGAATTATTGAGTCCGTCATCTGTACCTCTATAACTGTCTGGTTTGGTTCTGCAACCCAACAGGAGAGACACAGACTTCAGAGGAGAATTAGGACTGCAGAAAAAAACAATTACTACCCGCCTGCCTTCCATCGAGGACCTGTATGCTGCATGAGTCAAAAAGAGGGCTGTGAAAATATTTACGGACCGCTCGCATCCCGGACATATAAACTGTTTCAACTCCTTCCCTCAAAATGATGCTATAGAGCCCTGCACACCAGAACAACTGGACACAAGGGGAGTTTTTCCCCGAAAGCCATCGCTCTGCTAAATAAATAATTCCCTCAATACTGTCCAACTATCTACTAAGTCTGCACTACTATTACTGTTAATCTTCTCATCACTCCTTATCACCCATCCTTCCACATGTGATTGTAGGACTGTAACTGTCGCTTGTATCCTTATGTTTTATATTGACTGTTTCCTAGTATGATTTGATTGTCGATGGTACCCTATGACTATTATTAAGTGTTGTATCTTTTCTTTTATGTACACTGAGAGCATTTGCACCAAGACAAATTCCTTGTGTGGCCAATCACACTTGGCCAATAAAGTATTCTTTCTTTCTTTCTTTCTTTCTTTCTTTCTTTCTTTCTTTCTTTCTTTCTTTCTTTTTCCTTCCTTCCTTCCTTCCTTCCTTTCCTTTCCCTTTCTTTCTTTCTTTCTCTCTCTCTCTCTCTCTCTTTTTTTCTTTCTATCTATCTATCTATCTATCTATCTATCTATCTATCTATCTATCTAGTCGGGGGATGAAATGTCTACCAAAAAAACCAACATCAGCCAGCACCCAGAACCACTCACCCCAACCGTCAACTACAAAGATTCTATTTGATGGGGTTTATCCCCTCCAATCCAGAAAGCCCATTGGGGGAAGCCACTTAATATCACCTGTGTTACCAATTAAAAAAAAAAAAACTGCAGTGATTAACTTAAACAACTGGGACCAGAAAGGGTTGTAAAATGGGGCAAAACTCACTTAAGGTCTCGGCCAACTACAGAAATCTTGAATTCCGTTGTGGTCGTAAGTTCAAGGACGGCCTGCATACGTCCAAGCCCAATTGTAGGTTTCAACAAGGCGCGCATATTAAACCACGTTGGCAAGGCAACACACGAGGTAAAGCATTAAACTGGGATGAAACCAAGATAAAATAATGGCTACCAACCTGCCTTCCATGGAGGACCTGTATATACTGCAGGAGTCAAAAAGAGGGCTGTGAAAATATCTACAGACCCCTCACATCCTGGACATAAACTGTTTCAACTCCTTCCCTCAAAATGACGCTATAGAGCACTGCACACCAGAACAACTAGACACAAGGACAGTTTTTCCCCTGAAAGCCATCACTCTGCTAAACAAATATTTCCCTCAACACTGTTCAACTATTTACAAAGTGTACACTACTATTACTGTTAATCTTCTCAACACTCCTTATCACACATCCCCTCCCACTTGTGACTGTATGACTGTAACTTTGTTGCCTGTATCCTTACGATTTATATTGACTGTTTCCTAGTATGATTTCACGGCTATTGTACTCTATGACTATTATTAAGTGTTGCACCTTATGATTCTTGACTCTTGGCAAATGTATTTTTTCTTTTATGTACACTGAGAGCATTTGCACCAAGACAAATTCATTGTGAGTCCAATGACACTTGGCCAACAAAGAATTATATTCTTTCTTTCTTTCTTATCTTATCTATCTGATTTGATTGCTTATTTGTACCCTATGACTATCATTTTGTACCTTATGATTCTTGACGAAGTTATCTTTTCTTTTATGCACACTGAGAGTATTTGCACCAAGACAAGTTCCTTGTGTGTCCAATGACGCTTGGCCAATCAAGTATTCAGTTTTTCTGTTCTGTTCTATTTCTATTGTTATTCGACTCTATTCTATTTTCAATTCTCTTCTAATCTATTCTATATTCTTTATTCTATTCTCTATCCTATTCTATATATACCCTAAGCATATTCTACTACGTTGCCACGCTGTTCGAGCCCTAGAATTGCCATAGGCAGGAGTCAAAGGACCCATGGCCAGGCAGTAGTGCGGGTGTAGGTGTGTGAGAGAGATGGGGGGGTGTCTCCCCCATCGGGACAAGCCCCCCACATCCTACCTGCAGACCCCAAACACGGCAGGTCTCCCAGGTGAGCCCCCAAAGACTCCCCCCCTGCAGCCCCTTCAGCTTATAGGGCTCCCCTGGCAGGCGGCTGGGGCACAGGGGCAGCTGCCCTGCGCA